AGTTTTTTTTACCACTTATAATTTGTAATATTAATGTTAACCAACTTTGATGGGTTGATTCAAGATGGATAATACAAATTTTACAAATACTCTAGTATTGTTAACACCTATAATACCAACTTGTAATTTGAATGGGCATGACAGCATCTGAAATGGCAATAAGGCAGGCAGCTGCAAACATTTAAATCCTTCTCGAGAGTTATCAATAAGATGTAAATAATTTTCTACTATAATTGAATTCAATTATAGTGTTTATTTTGAATTCAATTGATAAATAAATTGTAATCACATGTTTGGAAGAAGATATAGAATTCAATTCATTTTGTTTTATATGTTACTCATGTCATGTTCATCTTGTTTCTTCAAACAATCTCTGAAAAAAAGAGATGAATAATCTAGTATTTTTAGAGGTCAATTTTAAAATTAATTTTTTTTCTTTTTAGTGTAGTAAATTAGAGGAGTCGATCTCTGATTTACTTTTATATCATTTTAAATATAAGATTTCATTAAAACCTCATAATTGAATTTAATTTAAAATGTTCCAAACATGTTGTAAACTTGCTTACACAATGCTTAAGCTCCCATCTTGGAAGAGGTATAACTTATTCTATATGGAAGTAAATAGACACTACTTTATCTTAAGTTAAAAATATTAAAATAATAGCATAGTTTAAAAAATAAATGGTAAAATAGTATAGTTTCTGTCTATCCCAATTGTAAATCGCAACAACTTACCCTATCATGAAATTAAACACCATCTTCCCTTCTTAATATCATGTTTTGTAAAGAAGTCATGTTTTGTAAATATGACATTTAGTTCGCATCGTGTTTCTCAATCATAATTTTTTACATGTCACATTTTGAAATTGCAATAAGCATAAACTACATTATTTTAATAAATGTTTTTACACTTATATTATTTTGTTAAAAATTTAAATTTTATGTACTACTAATCCAAAATAACCTAGTTTGTTATTGGGTGATCATACCTAGTTTCTCCCGTGACAGGTGATGACTAGCTTTACTATTATTTAATGCTTACATGTGTGTTTCTCACAAGGCTATGGTGAAAGAATCCTTTCTTCCATGCATGTTATGTTATTTATTGGAGTAAATTATAAATTAGTCTTTCTAGTTTTACAAAACAAAATAAATAGTCTTTTAGTTTTAAAAATTAATTGATTTTTTTACATGTGTTGACTATGTTTAATTTATTATTTATTATTTTAATTTTTTCTATTATCAATTTTTCATATTTATTTTATCTCTTTTTCATTTTTCTATTTTTAAAATAAAGAATAAAGTTAATTAAAGAAGAACATTAAATGGAAAGAAAATTAGTTCTTATACTCTAATAGTTAATTTAAAATTTAATATGTGTTTGACATTATAATAATTGTTATTGTGATTAAAACATAGATATTAACAAGTAGCATCAACCAAAAAATAAATTAAAAACAAAATTAGATGATTCATATATTACAGATTTAAAACTTTGCTGAAAACATCAAATTTCTTCTAAGACTAAACACATGGAAATGAGATATTTTCATTGATATAGTTCCTAAGGTGTAGTTTCTTTGCTTATTGATGGACTATAATTTAACAATATTTTTTAAAATAATTTTATGTTAATCTAAACATATTTTAATAATGGTCAAGGTCTTAAAGGATCCCAAAACAAGTTTGGGCTTAGGTTGCACACATGGATCCAATGACATCATTCACATGGCTTGACCCTCCTAGGATCCATATAGAGTGTATGGGCCCAAGTGCTAGGTGTGCAGCCTAGCATCCTTTGAGCCTAAGCTGTGTACCTGGTTTTTTGGGCCTTGATGAGCAGCCTAAGTCTAGTCTTTTAAGTCCAAACTTGTGGCTTGAACCCAACATTTTTTTTTTTGTAATTTTTTATTGACTCGAATATTTTAGCTTAAATCCTATTTTATCTCCACCCTAAGATGTATAAAAGTCTCTTATGGCTTACCATATTTGCATCTCTTTAATACAAATGTAAAAGATATCTATCCTTATTTGATATTTGTATCATAGATATTTATCTCTCATTAATTTTTATTTAAAAGATATTTATTTCTTATTAATGTATGTGTAAGAGATTTTTATTCATTAATGTTATTAGGATGAAATGAATTTTCTGCCCTCTCATTCAAGCAAAAAAAATAAAAAATTAAAGAAGTATAAATACTTTTTAAACCACCCACATAAAGAATTGATAATTTTTCTATTCTCAATATATATATATATATATATATATAACCATTTTCTTTTATAGAACATTTATTACATGTTAAAACAAGAACAAATAATTTTGTTTATAGAGTTTAATATTCTTTTTACATATTTATCAATTTTTTCTATAAAAATACTAACTTAAAAATATAAGAATCTTGAAATCCGTCAAAAAAAACTATTTTGCAGGTACTATGCTTCCTACATTAAGCTCCCACCTTCCTTAACTATGGAGAATAGATAAAATAGCAAGAACACTTGATTAAACCTACTATCCAACCATAAAAATACATTGTTCCTAAGCTTATTTAATTTTAGAACATCATCACTTAAGTTGCAAGTTGTTGAAAGCATTGAAACCATTTTATAAGGAGACCATAAATTATCATTTAATTAATTTTGATCTCAACAAAATTTTTGTTAGAGTTTGATTTTTCAGTCCCCATCATTAGCTCTTAATTGGGCCTTAGCCTAACTAAAGTCACACCTCCTATATCAGCATAGTATCTGTAAAAGATTAAGGGGGTGTTTCACAGTACGGCCAAAACATTGTTTGTCTAAAATTTGAGTTTTTTTTTTAAATTAATTTTTGTAGTGTTTTTAGATTGTTTTGATATGCTAATGTCAAGAATAAATTTAAAAAATAAAATAAAAAACTATCATTTTAATGTATTTCTGAGCAAAAAACACTTAGAAATGCAACATCTACCACACTCTCAAACATGTCCTAAATGTGTGTTTAAGATAAGTTTGGGTTTGTTTGGTAGGGTTGATTAGTACTTAAAAATACATTTTTATCAAGGTTTTATATTATTTTTTTGCACTTGAAGTATCAGTAACTCCTTAACTAAAGCATGTTTTATAATAATATATCTAATAATATAAGATACCTTTAATTTATGGTAAATGTTTATTTTAAATGCAGGCCTATCACATTAATAAAATGATTAATTGATGAGTTTAAGTACTGAAATTGAAAGAACAGAGAGACGATCAAACTTAGAAAAGAGATGTTGGTGCAGTCCAAACCGAACACTGTTCGATAATTAGGTCATATCTGGAGCTGTAGATCTCGAATTTAGGTCTACTTTATATTGATGGCAAGGTAAGACATAAGCTTACAACTTTCATGTAGAGGTTTGGTTTTAACAAGACTATATTCAAGTCTAAATTGTAGCAACAACGAACAAGTATTAGTATTAATCAAATAAGATAATTAATTTAATCATGTTAATAATTTATAATCTGATTGAAACCTCCTTTATGTGTGATTTCCAATTGAATAATAAGAGTTTATACTATACTTGTTTGGCATACTATTAGTGGATCCTCTAACCTTGACATTTGTTGTTATCATTGTTTAATCCTTACGTTAATCTTTCATATCAAAGTTCTCATCAATTTCTTCTTTTTCCTTTTCTTTTTATTCTATTATTATTAGTATTACTACTACTATTATTACTATTATTATTACTATTAGTAGTAGTATTATTAGTATTATTATTGTTGTTGTTGTTGTATTATTGTTGTTTATAATTTATACAATTAACCTCTATGTAGTTCAACCCTGGTCTTGCCTTATTATTTATTACTTCGACACTTCTATACTTGGAAAAAGATATTAATCTTTTGATCGTGTCATATAGGATCATTAGGTATGTAAACCTATTTGCTAAAAACCACTAACCAATCATTGTAACACACTTACTAACATTCTCAGAATTTCTATTTTGTATTCAATTTCCACAATATATTTTTCAATAATACATTTTGGAATGGGGGTACCTGGTAAATTGATTCAGGATTTAGTCAATTCAGGATCTAGATCGATTCGTGTTAAAGATAAAATTAAAAAAAAAACCTAGTTTACGTGGGGAAAAAACCCCAAGTCAAGTCACTGACCAAACCCTGACTTGATCAAAATTTGGCTTTTAGCCTGTTGATTTAAAAAAAAAAAATAAAAATAATAAAAATTTATTGTATATAACTTATAATTAGATCAATTTTTAAAACTATGTTCTATATAAAAAAAACTAGTTGTTTTTGGTAGTTTGATGGTAAAATATTGTTGCCTTGAAACATCATTTTATTTCATATTATGATAGTATTTGATATTATAAAAGTGATTGTTTTTTAAAATATTTTTTATTTAGAAATGTATCAAAATAATATTTATTTAAATTTAAATTTATTTTTGATAGCAGCATATCAAAACAACCCTAAAACACTAAAATAATTAATCTTTATTTAGAAATGTATCAAAATAATATTTATTTAAATTTAAATTTATTTTTGATAGCAGCATATCAAAACAACCCTAAAACACTAAAATAATTAATCTAAAATAAAAAAATTAAATTTTTAAAAATTGTAGCCCAAACCATTTCTAGAAAAAATGGTGAAAGTCAAGCAATAGCACAGGTGAGAAATATATATATATATATATATATAAAAGAGTTTTCATTACTGGTGGTCTTCATCTTTTTCTTATCTTCGTTAATCTATTCAATTTTGAAATGGGAAAAAATGGAGTTCCATTTCTAATAGAACTATCTATTACTTCCTTAAAAGAAATATGTGGGCATCCTTGGCTGTCTTCTATCAATGCAATGATAGATGAACTGTTCATTAATATCGAAAGCTATCAAAATTAATTAATAATCTCATAATGATTGATTGATAATTAATATAAGTAAAGATTAGGTGGGTCCTTATGCCTTTTATATAAAACCTTATGAGCAAAAATACGAACACTCCCTTCCTCTCCCTGAGAGAACAGTGAAAAGAAAGAAAAGCTGGATTTTATTTTATTGCTTTTAAGAAAAGAGAGAGATATTTATTTTGAATCTCTTCTATATTTCCTCGTTTTAAGCCATCTAATTTGTCTAAATCAATTGGGCTTCTTTTTCTTTCACTCTTTTCTTTCTTCAAACCCATTTTTCTACTTCACTCTGTCCTTTATTTCAAGAAAAAGAAACAAAATCATCTTCTGTTTTCAGCCTCCAGACTTGGTTTAGATGTGTGGTAGAGTTTTATGGTATGGGTTTTGCTTTAATGGATCTGGGTATTGTGTACTTTCTTGTTTTGTTTTTACTGTTTTGATTGCTTCTTTCTCTAAATGTAGAGCTGTAATTCCAGGGTTTATTGAGTTTGATTAAATCCTGTTATTTCTAGCTCCCATTTCTGACCCTTTTGATTTTAAGTTCTAATCCTTTTGTTTTGTTGTTGAACTGTGATACCATCATTTTTGTTACGATTTCAGCATTAATTACTTTACAAGAAATCTTTTGAGTTTTAAAGAATTTTCTTAGTTTTATTTGTGTTATCAGATTGTGGTTTGCTTCTCCTCAAATTTTATTTTAACAGTTTTAAGGTTTTTTTATTTTTATTTTTTCATAGTTACATTTAAGTTTTAGACTAGATGGTTTTGCGGTGTTAGATTTTGCGAGATCATAGGGTATTAGTAGGATTGATGAGTGTGTGATCCTTAAACCTTGTCAACCTTCACCTGAGTGCAGGTAAAAGAGCTCTCAACCATATGCCATTCTACTCTTCTTCTTCTTCTTTTTTTTTATCTGTTTGTGGTAATGCTATTTAAGTCTTTTTTATTTGTTTGTGGTAATAATGTGAATAGCCAATTAAAGGATAGATATGTTGAAGTAGTCTAAATAAGTGAGCTTTGTGCTGTAATGGACTTGGAATTTTCTGGAAATTGAATAGGGTGAAAGGGGTGGCCAAATGTATTAATTCCACTCCTCAACAAACAAGGGTTTCGTGTAGAGAATCTTCGCAAAGTTGTCTTATAAGTGAAGTCAATAATATCTCATAGGCTCGGATTAAAGCTTTTTGGGTTTGACTGAAAGTGTTTCGTAATCTGCACAAAGTTGCTTGGATTGCATGTGCGTGCATGTAATTGTGTTGAATCAAGCTTATCAATAAATGTTTATTAGTGTACCTTATTGTCTGTACTTAACCTTATGTTTTATCCTCTACGTTGCCTCCAAAAACAGCAATTTATTATCCTCTTTGATTCGCTCTTTATGATAGTTACCTTTTTCTGATTTGAAATGACCTGTTTTGAGCTTTTTTTAAATCGTCATTGTTCATCTGTTCAGGCATCTTCATGAGATGAGCAGCATGATGAATGGGAGCAAGGACAGTAAGAGATCCAAGGATTGTCGAGATTCACCTGCAGCTGATGAAGCTAATGGTGGGGAGATGATGGGTGGAATGATCCCTTTGAAAAAAGGCCCGTGGACCCCTGCAGAAGATGCTATTTTGATAGACTATGTCAAGAAGCATGGAGAGGGGAATTGGAATGCTGTCCAGAAGCACTCAGGGCTCTTCCGATGTGGTAAAAGCTGCCGTCTGCGATGGGCGAATCACCTACGACCGGATCTGAAGAAGGGTGCGTTCACTCCAGAGGAAGAAAACCGCATCATTGAACTCCATGCTACAATGGGAAATAAATGGGCTCGAATGGCAGCAGAGGTTGGTAACCCTATTCCTGATTTGAAAATTTTTCTAATAAATGTGTGATCACTTCAATTTTTTTAAAAATTATGTCATGTGAATGGTATTGGTATGTCTAGCTTCGTTCATGGAACATAGCAATGGTCTGATGTTGGATTTTTTTGAATGTGCACTGTATAGCAAATCCAAAAATCAAGTGACATGGATATGGAAATGATAGGAATAGATACACTTACAAACATGTGTGTGTGTGTTTGGGTATGCAAACACTTGTTTATAGTCCAAAACACACCCTCATAATTGATAAATTTGCTGGGTGTTTATTGTGAATATAGTTGATTGTATGCATGATTTGATGGAACACCTTGTCTGTCTTTTTCCTCTTTCCATCTGTGTGTGTGTGCATCTGCGTGCATGTGCAGTGCATATACATACATGATATAGGATGAGAAGAAACTGGAAGAGAGAGGAGGAATAGGGAGGAGAGGAGAAAAGAAAAGGTGTGTACAAAATCAGAAAGTAACACTAGAGGTATGAAAACTTGATAAAAGATCTTCATTTGTTATCAATTATAAAAAGGCTTCCTCAAAGGAGTGATAAATTTTCCTCTTTAGGCCTCAAGAAACCCTTCATAATCCTTAAAAAAATGAGTATAAAAAGGGATTGCTGATGTTAAAGAATAGCTAGGAAATAGAAGAAAATCAAATCAACTACTCTCTCGGAAATAGAATTAAATACTTAAATAAGAAACAAAATAAAAACATAAAATTCCAAATTAACCTTCAATCATTATCACTTCTTTGGAATGAGATGAGATGAGCATGTGTACCAACAAATAGGAGGAACAGGTTAATTTGGGCATAGTGATTTAACACAAATTTTGGTAGTCAAACAGATATCCGCTCAATCTTTTCTTTTTCTAAACATTTGAGTTACAATATCCAAAGATTTCCTTTTTTTCTTCAATTTAATTTTTGTTTCATTAGGCTAAATGATTCAGTCTAATTAGTTTTGGAGATATATGCAGAGTTCGTATTTTGTCGAGAAGCAACACCAAATCCAAAGAACATTAGTGATAAAAAAAAAAAGGGGAGAGTAACTTCACTAGAAAAACTGTTTAATTTGTCTTACAAAACTAGAGACTAATTTATAATTTATTCACTCAAGAGATCAAGACTCAGCATGCTAAAACACCTTGGTGTCTGAAATAGTTTGGAATCTTTGTATTAATTGAGCAGTTTCTTTCTTTCATTTTTTGGCATTTGTATTTTCGTTGTTTGCTAGGTGATTTTCTAGGTTACAGTGTCAAAAATTTTTATTTTTTTTTTTCAATTTAGTACATGTTTCATTAGGCTAAATGATTCACTCTAATTAGTTTTGGAGATATCTGTAGAGTTCGTATTTTGTCGAGGATCAACACTGAGTCCAAAAAAACACTTAGTGATTAAAAAAGGGAGAGTAATTTCGCTAGTTTTATATTTTGCCTGAGCATCTTCCATTTTCAAAAATATTATTGGTTTTACCTCTTTTATTAATCTTAAAAAAATCATGTTGCCATCTCAGGGATTCATATTTTGCTGATGTTTTTCATCTTAAGAGCCGCATTATTTTTGGTTTAGTGTCTTATAAAGTAACTTATGTTTTGATTTTGATTTTTTTATTTTTTGCAGAAGTATTAGAAAAGCTGTTTGTTGAATACATGCTCTTTGAACCTTAGAAATAAGCTTCAAAAAAATCAAAACCTATATGTACAATCCATATCATATTACATGCATGGAAATATCCTGTTACATGGTAAACTACAAGATTGTCTTCTTGTATATATGTTACATTGCTTATCCATTGCCATCAATTAACTTCATCTTTTAGGACATTATTTTCTTTTGAGAGAGATGTTGCAGAGCCTTGCTTTTCTTTCTGCCCTCATAATTACCCCTTAGGCTCAGTATGGGTTTCAGGACAAGAATCACCTTTTATGTGCTATGACTACACTACATAATGGCGTCCCTATCTTTTTTGTAACTTTTCCCACACGAAATTTCAATTTGATAATTCAATATATGCATGAGTTTCTGTTTCTGTTAATTTCTCTGGTAATGATGCCCACTCAGAATGTGGTAGGCTGGTAGCGTATTTCATGGCATGTTTAGCGAACTCTTATACAGGGCAGCATTTAGGCAACCATGGGAGACATGATACTAGTTTCTTCTCTAATATTTTATTCAATACAAACAAACATAATCTCAAGCTCCAAGCTTTATTTTCTGTATTATGCTGCCATTTTTATGTGTTTATGATTTTCTTCTCCTTGCAGCTGCCTGGACGGACAGATAATGAGATAAAGAACTACTGGAATACTAGAATAAAGAGACTGCAACGTACTGGCTTGCCAATTTATCCTCCTGATGTTTGTCTGCAATTATTCAAGACGATTCAAGATGGTCAAAATATGGGCACGTCGCAAACAGGGGACACATATGATCCTGATCTGATGCAGACTGACCATTTTAAGATTCCAGAAGTGGAATTCAAAAACCTGGAACTCAGTCGAGATGTCCTATCTTATTCCTCGGGTCTTTTTGATACTTCATCAAGCAGCATGCTGAAACAAGGTGTAGGTTCTTCCTATGGTAATGCTGTTGTGTTCCCAACAATTCATCCTGCAAAACGCCTTAGAGAGTCACAGACCATATTCACTGGTCTTGATGGTTGTGTTGGCAGGGGAATGCCAATGTTTGATCAATTGACAGATTATCCTTGTGGAAAGATTATAGAGCACTCTGGATTATCTCCCCCATATGATCCTGATTTGAGCACCTATGACCAGCCACCATGGGATGTTTTTCCTGGTAGTCATGCCATATTAAATGACAACACTTCTTCTTCTAACGGGCCCATATGTGGGGCCATGAAGTTAGAGCTCCCTTCACTCCAATATTCAGAATCTCAACAAGATAGCTGGGGCACACCAACTTCCCCACTGCCTTCGCTTGAGTCTGTTGATACTTTAATTCAGTCTCCTCCAACCAAGGAGATGCGGTCAGATGGTCAGTCACCACGAAGTAGTGGTCTCTTGGAGGCAGTACTTTATGAATCACGAACTCTGAAAAACTCAAAGAAATGTTCTGGCCACCCAACTTCAGATGTTTCTGTCGCGTTTGGTGGAGTAAATGTTTCACCCTTGAATACCTCTGCAACAGAATGGGAAGTATATGCTGATCTTAACTCTCCCTCGGGTTATTCAGCTTCCTCATTATTTAGCGAGTGTACTCCTGTGAGTGGAAGCTCCCCAGATGGACGAGGTGAGACAATTTAAGATAACATGAACTTTTCGGGATTTCCAGTTTTAGTAATGAGCTTTTACTTGTTTTTCGTGTAGCATATAATGCTGAGCCCGAGCCAGTTGATCAGGATTTGATCCCATATGTTGAGGCGAGAAAAGCTTCCGATCAGACAGACTGCAACAGGCCAGATGTTTTGCTTGGCTCAGCCTGGTTTGCGCCGAGCAATAACTGCCACAAGGACCAGTTTTTTCAGACTGATGATGTGGTGGCGGTTCTTGGGGGAGATCAACCATGAACAGTGAGTACTAGCAAACGTGTTCTATGAGTTTGTAACTGCGACTGGGAAAAGGACAATGCCCTTGTTGACTTTTAAATCATTGAAATTTGACATTCCTGCAACCTCCTTTATAATCTTTTTGTCATCATTCCTCAGAGGGGGGCTCCCAAAGAATCTGTGACCTTCCTGGTGTTTTGCTTGCGCGTCTGGTGCTCATCTTAGGTGACCAAGACATGAAATATTATCCTCCCAATGCCATATGAATGGAACATCCCTTCTTCCATTATCAACCGCAGTTCTGGTGTCAAACTTTATCAATTCGTGTCAGTATTATTCCATGTGTGGGTTTTTTTATTCTCTTTTTTTTTTTTTGGTATTTATTTCTATGCTCAGTGCTCTTTACTTATGAATTGTGATTCATTAAAAACAAGGACATCCTATAATCAATTTGAAAACTACATAACAATGCTTCAAGTGCATCAATGTTGGGTTTAATTCGCCGAAATATATGTATAAAAGTTTTTAGTTATATTAAAAAAGAAAAGAAAAGAAATAAAAATCGGTTGGCAATGGCGCTGCAGGATGGCTTCTTCTCCTGTGTGTCATAGAAATTGAAACCCAAAAAACGCCCCACTATTTCAAAGTGGGGTTTTCAAAGTGTCTTCTTTTAGGGATGTGTTGAAATAATATTATTATTATATATATTATAATCTTTTTATTCAATGAAAATTTCGTTTCTTATATATTGCATTATATTGCAAACTCTGCAAGGATCAATCCGGGGAGAATATAATGCTACTTTATAATTGAAGTTTAATTCATTACAAACCACCATAATCATCCGTGTGTTTTTATCAATTTAGCAAATTAGCCATTGCGAAAAAGATTTGGTCGAGATTTACTTTTTTCTTGCAAATTTAGTCAATTAAACCCCATTGGACATAATTGCATTGAGATGCTAGATGAATACCAAGTAAAAATTTTAAGAAATAAAAAAAAATCAAGAAAATAAGAATTTTAAAAAATGCTTATGGAATAAAAGAAAAACAATTACTAATTTAAAATAATTTTCAAGGAATATTTAAAAAAATACTTAATCAATAACATTTTTTAAAATTTGTAAGAAAAATAATTTTTAAAAACAATAACTTTTGATATTTTTTAAGAATTAAAAAATATATCCTTTAAATAAATATTAGGGAATACTTAGCCATTAAAATGTTCAAGAAATAAAAATTTGTAATGATTTTTTCTTAAAATTATTAACTTCTTTCCAAATAATTAATGGTCGATAATTTTCAATTTCCATAAAAGAAATTTATTTCTTGAATTTTTGAAAATCTTAAATGTTGAGCAATTAAAACTATTTCATAATATTTCTGATTTTTTTAATTTGTTAAACATCTTTTATTAGTTTGAGAATTTTCAAAACTTCTCATCTGTGCATTTGAATTTTTTTCCCTTAAATTTTTATGTATTTTTTTCATTCCTTAAACATTTTTTTAAAATTATTTGGTATTCTTCGTACAATTAAATTTAATTTAGTCCAATTGGGTTTAATTGACTAAAATTTACAAATACATGAAAGATTCTACCAAATCTGTTTTACAAGAGTTGATTTGTCAAAAATAATACAAACCCATGAGTGATTCTGGAGGGTTTTTCTCGTGAATATTAAATATAAATGCAAGAGTTTGCTGTATATTTTTTAAAATATTTTTATTTAAAAAAATATCAAATTTATATATTTTAAAGTGTTTTTAAATATTTTTTATATACTAATATAAAAAAATAAAATACCATTTTGATAAAGCAAATCATCATAAGCAGCCGTGTCTCTATGTTGTCTCCACAGCATATGAATATATTTTTTTTATTTTAAATTAATTTTTTTCTTTTTAATTTATTGATGTCAAAAAGTGATTTTTTTAAAACTAAAAAATATATATTATTTTTAATGCATTTTCAAATAAAAAACATGTGAAAAAACAAATATAATCATCAACACTCTGTAATACCCGGAAAACATAACTAGAAGAATAGTGGGCAATAAATGACTCTCTCCAGTTGAGGCATGATAGAAGAGTTTCTTTTTTCTCAAATGCCTCAACTGGATAAGCTGTCGTTTATGGTTTCAAGATCCAGATTTTTTTAGTGCAATAAATAGGAGCAGAATTCTTTAGAGTAATAATTCTTCCTCGCTAAATTCCAGGTGCTTGATGAGCATGACAAAGGCGGATAAAACCAGAAACTGATGGTAAGGAGGCGTTCGGCCAAACACAAAGAAGGAACATTTTAGGTTTGAAGTGGTTCATCGCTCATCTGGATAAAGGAAAAGGCATCGAATAACTAAGACGCGAAATAAATAAAAAGGAAATGACAGACAGACAAAACTTAATGCCAAAAATGGCTACACTAGAATCAGTGGAATATAAGCCGTCTTTATATTTTGTTGAACGCAACAATGTCACAGCTCTGGACATATTCATTGCAAGGCTCGACTGTGAGACGCTCCTCGATGAGGGAATCCACTGACACAAGGTCGTCTACAATGGTAAGCATGATTTGTAGCTTCTTGATTCCATAACCGACTGGAACCAATTTTGCTGCAACAAAACCAACACACAAGAATTAACATTACACGTTACTGAAGCGGATGGAATCTCAAAATATAGTGTGAGAAAAATATAAAATTGTCAGTTCAAAACATACATGCTCCCCAAAAGAGACCAGGCATCTCAACACTCCTGACTGCCTTCTCCAACTCCACCATGTCTGTCTCATCATCCCATGGCTTCACATCCATGAGAACTGAAGATTTCCCACCTGAAAAATGGGAAACAGTCAAAATAACAGGGTATAAAATGAACTCATAATAGAACATAAACATGATTTTGCAGAGAAGCATAAAGAGGACTGAGGAAGCTCACTCTCTTTCTTCTTGGAGGAGGCGTTTTTAGCTTTCTCCCTCTCCTCCGCTGCCTTCTTGTCCTCTTCAGTCTCATCACCAAAGAGATCTAAGTCGTCATCGTCATCACCAGCAGCCTGAAACAGACCAAGGAAACCTTCCAAGTTCAATGCAAGAAAGTCACCAGGCTTCCCTAAATATTTTCGCTCGTGACTTGAACCAATGCAACCAAAGTACCGGGTGTTCATAATTCCAAGTTAAAGCACAGTACAAAACTGCAAATTCATGTGATTTGTGAATCAATAGTAAATTATCGTTGGACCTATCATTCTGACCATGAAATATTTGTCTTACTCAAGTAAGAAAACGGTCAAAAACTGTAAGTACCTATCATTCTATCAGTTCTAGAAACTTCAGATGAAAAAACTAGTGAAGATTTAAACTAACGACAGCAACAGTTCTTGCTGGTTGCAACGAAAGTCTTCAATTTTCAACCACAACGTGGTAAGTTAGAACTGACTCATCCTTTACTGGGTAATAAGCTAATGGGATTTTTAATCGATAACATCATTTTACTCCCAATTGCAAATGGTTTTATATGCAGCCAACGCTAATCAAATTACACAAGTATTCGAACTTGAGATACCCAATTGAAAAAAAAAACTAGAAATCAATATTCAGATGTTAAAAGGCAACTTTTGAAAATAGTACAAGTAAAAGACGCAAACCTCCTTGGCTGGGGCAGTTTCAACGGGAGCAGCAGCAGCTGTTTCGCCACAAATGCTTACACCAACAGCTTTACCTGGGAAGCTATAAATCAAAGCACGCAAAACCCACAAATAATCAACAATCAAATCAAACAAATTCACCCCAAGATGCGAAATTGAAATTTAATAGGATAAGAACATAAAAGGAGTTACCTTGAAGCGAGCTGTGAAGAAACAGATTCGTACCACTTGCTAGCATTAGGGAAATCACCACCAGGTTTCTCCAAAACAGCACCGTAAACTTTGATGTCATCTTTGGAAATCTGATCACCGGAAATATAAGATTTGCCGACGAGAAACTCGTTGAGGGATTTGAGGCCGGATTCTGTGTGGAGATCTGAGAAAGTAACTGCCATTTTTGACAATGATGATGAGGAGATAGATCTCTCGGTTTTTTTACAAGCAGGCGGCGGAAAAGAGAGAGGAAAGCAGTGAGTTCGAAAGAGGAGGCTCGAGAGGAGCGTTTGGATGGTTTATATGGGAGACCGAAAAATAAGAAAAACCCTAGATTGGAAATTTTGGGATATGGATATTTTTTTGTTCAATTCGTCGAGGATTCTAAATGGACATTTATGGAGTCGTGCTTTTTCAAAAAAAAAAAAATCAATGTGCATTTTCATTTTCAGCGTGGGTGATTAGTGTTTTAGATGGGAAGAAACAAAGACATTATAAATACAAATATATTTAGTTGAATGGGTTGAAATCAAAATATAAAACAAATTTTTATTTGATAAAATTTTAGAGTAAATTTATTTATTTATTAAAACATAAATATAAAAAAATGTCATTATTATTATTTTTTGTCTCAATATGATAATTAAATATAATTTTTAGTTAATATTTTGAAATAAAAAAATAGAGATAATGAAAATAAAAACAACATATTCTCTTAAACTTTTTATTTTGAAAAGATAGAAATTCATTTCAAGATTATTTCAAAAATATATTTGTTTTATGGGTTCATTTTTGTTCCTTTAATTAAACAAGTTTTTTTAAACACATGCGCATATATAATAGATAAAATAATTGTTTAATAAAATTTGTAAATACAATAATAAAAGAAAATTAATATATATTAAAAAATAAATAAATAAAAAACAAGATAACAATAGAAAAGATATCAATATAACAATGATTAAAATTAATTTAAAAACAATTCATGTTAGCTCAAATTTATTTAAATTAATTATTTCTTACTATTAACTAGAGTTGTTTTTGTTCTAAAAAATTAGAAGATAATTAATTTTTATTATTTTTTATATAAATTAGAAGATAATTAATTTTTATTATTTTTATATAAAATAGTTCATTTTCATTTAAAGTTACACGGTGATTATATTGAGATGAGATAGATAATAATATTTATAATAATAATAATGATATTACTGTATTGAATGATGGTGTGTGGTCAGGTAACCGATACAATAATAGTTATATTGATAATAAATTGTGGTGATGATATAGTTGGTTATATTGATAACAAAGGTAATGATCGGCATATAAATTTTCATCATAAAAATTAATTTGGATAGATGGTTGGAAATTTGATCTAATCAATAAAAACAATTATACCATTAGAAGTAAAAAATTATATTTAGTAAGATGCTAGTCATAAAAATTATTTGGCATTTTTATTAAATTTTTTCTAATAGATTAATTTTGAAATCCTGAAATCTGATTCTTTAACTAGCCCGAGTTTAACATTAAATTATGTTGAAGTTTTCTTGACGTGAATCAGTAGATTTTAGAGGCCAAAACAACCCAAACAATTATCAAAAAGAGTGGTTTGACTTTTAAAAAAATCAAAATAATTTTTTTTATTTGAAATAAAAACATATTAGATTCTCTACAATTTAACCTATCAAATTTATGATTTCTTTTAATATTTTTTTAAAAAACATTTTTTACTTAGTTATATTATTAAAAAAACATTGCTAGGAAAATTGACCACGAACCAAATATTGAAATATTTTTTAAGATTACGATAACTTTATAAAAAATAAATTATAAAAAATTATAAAAATTATTTTAAAAAGAAAATCTTCTTGATTGTTCATATAAACAATGAGAGAGATGCACACACCTCCAAATTTTTTAGAGTTGTAAAGTGATTGTTGCCATTAAACAAATAATTGGATAAAATATTAAATAAATTATGTAAAAAAAGATTAATGAATTTAGAAAAAAAATAATTATGTAACAATAATAACATGAATCACAAGAAAAATATTTAATAAATTATACTTTTAGATCATTAATTAACTAGTAATTTTTATAATTATAATTTTTTAAATGGATATTTTTTGTTACAAAAAATAAAGGAAAGGCTCAAATCTTTGACTTTTATAAAAAAAATGGACACATATTTAATAATGATGATTGCAACGAAAATGATGATAATAATGTTTTTGTTTCATTAATAATAGTTTGGTTGTATTTAATAGAAAGATAAAATACAAGAAACAACATTGTAGTAAAAAAACACTAAAACATAGTATATTAAGAAATTACAATGGAAAAAAAAAGGATGATGAGAAATGACTAGTTGGTGTTTAGAAAGATACAAAAAACATCAAAATTAGATAGCAATTCTTCTATTAATTCTTCAATCAATATATTAATTCTTGATCTTCTATATAAAATCCCAATTCCTTAAGAACAAATATGTTAAAAAAAAAACAATTTGTTTGTTTCAAGAATTGTAAAAAAAGAGATTATCACTTAAAAGATTACATAAATCATAATGTAGGGAGTGAATTCATCCTAACTTGGCCCAATATTGTTGTAACAAACTATATTATTTGGTTCAATAATATGTAGCAATATTTTGTCGAAAAATAAAAATACTATAATATTTTTATCATGAGATTTGTATTGTGTTGCATATTATTACACTTTAATTTTATATCAACAGTAATTGATTAATCGACAATCATTACAAGAACGATATCATAATGATCAAATACCATCTTATATCTTGATCATGTTAAGTCAAGTCATAACTTCTATATTATTTTCTACCATTAAGAAAAATAAATTAAAAGATAATTCTATAAAGTTTTTAGTTAATGGATGTTATGGCATGAGGGTCTTGTTTGATCCCTCCTCACTTGTGTAATCAGATGTTATATTTTTTTAGACTTGGTTTTGGTTTGCTAACCTTTTTACCATGTTATTTTTTAAATCTTAAGAGATACTAGTGATTGTTAGCCAATTTATTTTCCTTGTCACTGAGTTTAAATGAATTTTATTGTAATTAATGTTATGTCTTTCCTTATCATGAATGTTTGTGAACTTGATCTTTCATTACATGTCAATCTTGTTCAATTATGCCCCTTTAAGTTTTCTCTGTTGGGTATAATTATATAACAAGTGGGGCAACTATATACTTATATAGAGATTTTGCATAACTCTCTTATGCCAACTTGTTAGTTTTATCGTGATCAATAAATCTCTTACATAAAACAATACTAGTGACTAAATTCAACAGCGAGAGTATGATATTACAGTGACCCTTCCCAAATAGGCTATAGAGATCTTTGGTTGGATAAAGAGTCATCATCTTATATTATGATTTCTTAAAATCCTAAATGGTCTTTAGATATTCTAGATAAGAGATTAGTTGCTTATAGGAATATATGAGCACCCCTAGTATGCCTTACATAAAGTAAATTGCATTGTTTTTTTTTTGTTTATGATTGTCATGGTCTAATGGTGTTTTTAAATTATATCAGCCTATTCTAATGGGTTTATTACTATGAACAAACTCGGGTTTTTTATATTAAAAACTTGGTCTCAAAAGTTGAAATGACTTCAATTGTCATTGAGGTTTTTTTTTATATAAACTTAAGAATTTTAGCTACCGCGTCATTCCAATTATTATTTCAGATAATATTTCTTATAGGTTTTTTATTTTTATATTAAAAGTGAATAAGTTGTATTACTTCTAATTATATTTTGAATATTGATATCGTACATGTTTTTTTTTATCCTTATATTAAAGAAGAGAAATCATAAATTATTATCCCTAATAATAATATTTTGGATATTAACTCTTTTGTAGATTTTTTATTCTTCTATTAAAAGTGAATAATATATTTTCTTTCTAAAAATAATTTTTTAATATTTTTAAAATATAGACCAAGATCCTTTAAAAATTCACAAACTTGTTGTAAAATCTATGTAATATTTTTTCAAAACCTGCCAAAGTATTTTAGATTTCTTTAAAAAAAAATGCTCAAATAATGTTTTAAGATTTTTAGCCATATACAAAAAAAAAATTAATTTTTTTAGGTCTTGTTTGGCAAAAACTAATTTTTTTATAACAAAATTATCAAAACATGTTTAAAGAGCATCATTGCCAAACACATTGTTAAACCATTTTTTTTTTCTAAAAAAGGTTGAAAACAAGACAAGGCCTTATTAATCTGACTTGTAACCAAAACAACTGGGTTAACTTGAAATCATTCATCCATCTATGAACTGAATAAAAAATCTTTGGTTTAACTTAAAAATAGATCCAAAACAAAATAAATAAGCTAAAATGGATTCAACTTAAAGAAAACACAAAAAAAAAGCTTGAAGAAAACAAATTAAACACAAAAAAGAACGAGAAGAATATTCTTCATAAACCCATAAAGCATAAATTGAAAACCAAATTAGATATAAGAAATCTAGTGGCATAAAGAGGTTGGAAACAATGCAATGATCAATAATATAGCATCCATTCATTTTCATTAATAATGAGTCGTCACAATTTAGTTAGAGAAAAATTCAATTTGAAGCTGAAACTCTAAGATTAAAACACTAAAATACAAGTTATTGATACAAAAGAACTCTAAATTATTATCTAACGATGCCATGCGAAGATGTAGTTGCAAGGAAATGAAATAAACAAATTAAAATCAAGTGGTTAAGACAATGTTCTTGGGAAGAACATGAGGAACATAAGCCCATCAAACCCAAAAATACCTAACACATTGTCAAACTCAAAACTAATCTTTTTGAAACTCTAAAACATATTAATACCAACAAATCACATTATCATAATGAAACATATTTGAATAAAAAGAACTTACAAACAACATCAAATCATCAATTCATACAAAATGTTTCAGCTTAAAAAACTGTCAAGTCTAAATAGTCTACATATTCATACAATTTGGATTTAAAATTGGTTTTCTAAATATATTTTGATTATAAACAAGACTTGTAAACCTAAGATTAACATTATTATTTATCGATGCATTAATCAAATTAACAAAACTAAAAAAATAAAAGTTGATTTATCAAAACTAATTTAACTAAAAAGCTTTTATTACATCAAAAAAATCAAACACACCCTAAAAATGCTTCAGAGAACAACATCAAATCATAAAATAAAAAATCACAGCAACAAAAAAGACAAACACATCCCAACTTTTTAAGCATTCCAAACCTCATCATCATGTTTGAAAACATAATACAAACCAAATGATAATCAAAAACACCTCAAATAGACCACATAAACTCTATTTTTTGGATTAAGAAA